TGAAATTGCGACTGCGGCGGCGGAGGCTGTGAATGAAGCTGAAACGGCAACTGCTGGTCCTGAAACGACAGAGTCTGTGTCTGCGTCTGCGTCTGCGTCTGTGCCTGTGTCTGTGTTTGCGTTTGCGGTTGCTGGTGCTGGTGCTGGTGCTGGTGCTGGTGCTGCACTGGTTGATTGAAAAGCTGAAACCCTAATTGACCGAGTTGGCCAAAGTGACTCAGTTGCAGCTCCCGATCGTACAACGCCTTCCTCGAAGGATCCGACAGAACAAACCACGCATCAGAGACAAGCCTGAACGCCTGGTCGGCGTACGGGAACCGATTCCGGTTGGGGTTAAGCAGCATGGAGAGTCTACTGTACTGAGTTCCGACGAGTTCGGGGTTATGAGTGAATCGGACGAGCCGTAGAACGCCGTACCAGTCGGGCATGTTGGTGCCTCCGACGCGAGATTCTCCAGCGACAAGAGTTTCGGCGACGGCGAGGATTAACTCGGCGGGCTCAGCGAGGTGGGGATCAGACTCACACGCGCGGATCGCGAAGTTCCTAGCGCCGTGAAGGTCACCGGTGCCGAGTAGCTTCTCCGCCGTCACTAACCACCGTTCCGCCTCCGCTCTGTTACCTCCGCCTCCGCCGCCGCCACTGACGCCGCCCATCATTTTCCGCTCTGACTTTTTCTTTAAGAGGGAGAGGGCGAGAGGGTAAAACCCTTTGAACGAGAGAGAGAGAGAGAGAGAGAGAGAGAGAGAGAGAGAGAGAGAGAGAGAATTTGTGCTCCAGTGGACGAGAAAGGGACCGCGCTTTTCAGTAATCGACTTGATCTTAGAGTCAGGTTAAGACAGGAAATACAGACCGGCCGTAAGGGTATTTCTGATTCCGGGTGTGAATAAAACGGCACGGTGTTTCAAGCTTTGGAATGGAAAAGGGAAGGCGTCTTGCATATCTAAACCCCAAACGTCTCCTTATGACTCAACGAGCACTACCATGGTGGGATAATCTAAACTGTGGTTCATCCTGAGAGAATGCGTTAATGTTCACTACGTTATAGACACTTTCTGATAGTTTTTCTGCAACTCTGCTCATCGTTCCTTTCGATCCCTGTGATTGGCATTAACGTCCTCGTGACCGGTGCGCATCTCAATCATGTGTGCAATTGCCTGGAGCCCATGTTGATCCCCTAACTGGTCCTGTTTCAATCGAGAAACGGCCTTCCCTCTTGATCTCAAGTAGTCATAAAAAGTTGGTCAAAGGAAGACAATGAACTTAGTTGTAGTTTTAGAGGAGCAAACCAACTGCTCTTTTGTGACCTCCTCGAGCGTAGCTGTAGTTTCTCGAAGCAGTTTCAGCTCCTGCATAAGATTCTCAGACTTCTCCCCAAGCTTCTCATGCTCGTCCTCCAAGTCCTTCAGCCTTATCTGTTAGATAAGCAATGTAAGGATTGAAAATCGTAAACGAATGCCAGAAAAAAAAAAAACACCAGCACCGCAAAACTAACCATAGCAAACAGAGAATCCAGGCTGAATGTCATTTCACTATCCAACTTATTCTGAGCAGAGCCCAGGGACCTTGAATCTGAGTAAAGAAAGATCGCATATGTCAGGAGACAAAAGCAGCTTATTATGAGATATGGTTGGTAAGATTCAAGAATGCAGTGCACTCACCTTCTGAATTCATCGTATGCTGCTCATGATAGTCCTAAGGTTGAATAAGGATCCATCCAAAATGAGCATAGAGATAAAAAAAAGAAAAGAAAAGAAGATATCATCTTTTTGCCAACCACGACACACCCGTGATGGTGTATAACATCGGTGACAGAGAAATAGAGAAAAAAAAACACGTTTTTATAGAGGTGCAGACCATAATCTTTATGATTCTGTCCCTGAGTTTAGCTGTTGTTTCCTGAAGTTCTAAGAGCACCTGTCGAAGCTGCTTATGGTCATTTTCCAGCTCCTCAACTTTGATGCCTAACTCCTTCAACTGCATAAAAAAAAGCAGGGTGGAGGATTAAATTTGTAACGGTTCAGGCAATGGAGGAGAAAAATTAAACATAACCATTGGAGATACACAGTTATGAAACTAACATCACGAAGCTGAGATTCCATGTCGGATGACTCTTCATTCTCTAGTGCACTCTGAGCAAACTCACGCGACTTTGAATCTGAGAGAATTGGAGCTCATGAGTCACGGTACATCAGATTCACCATTCATGAACTTTTTGGTTTTGCCCTCACCTTCCAAAATTTCCTCATCTTGCTCATGCTCCTAAATTTCAGAAGGATCCATCGGAGGGGACATAAAGGATCTCAGATTTTGCCAACCAGTGTAAAAATATCATTAAGGAGGAATAGTAACAAGAAATGTACTTGGTCAGTGGAGTCTTGATCTGTCAGTTCCTTGCTGTCGGCATTTTTCCTATGAGAAGACACAAACTACCATTGATACACATCCAAATGTTTTTAATCTGCTTCTCCAACAACAACAAAAAAAAGGCCGAAGAGACAATGATACCGTGTTTCAGCAACAACCCCTCTTGACACAGATCCGCCATGTGAAATCTCCACGCCTTTCAAGCTTTTTTCACTCGCCATTCTAAAGTTCTATTAGTGGCAATCAGAGCCAAAATGAAAACATACTAGGATTTCAATATCTAACAGAAAAGCAAAACCGATGTTCAGACATATTCCATGAAGATGACTACGCAAAGTCGCCGGCGTCTGTCCAAAGATTAACAAAAAGTAGTCTAAAGATTTTGGATCCAAAGTTAGACTATTTTGCGAAAATCAAAATGAACTCAAAATCCAATCTTCCCGATGACCAAACCAGAAAGCAAACAACCAAAAGCTAAATAACATGAAAATTATCCAATCTTGAACCCTCGTTCATCGAGTAGGATCAAGATTATGCTACAGCCTACGCGAAGCATTCAAAATTATATATCCAATCTCGAACCCTTGTTCTTGATCTGTTCGAGTGTTCAAGATCTTATCGCTTAGAAAACAATTTCGAAAGAAGAAGGCAAGAAGAAATCGCATTTGTATTAATCAGTGTGAGATTCAACCACAATACACCACGCAGATAACGTCCTCGTCAAGAAGGAACCGGGAATTTCCATCTCTAGAACAAGAAACGAAGAATGGTGAAATATCAATCGGCATACCTGTGATTCTGTGAAGCAATCGCTAATTTGACTTCAATCACAAGCAAATTCTGCAACGTCCACAAAGATTGAAGAATTACAGAGCCCGATCCGCAAGAACAATCTCAAGAAATGTTCACACAGCGCTTGAAAAGTGTAGGTGTATGTATACGCGAAGAAACACAGAAAGGGAGAGAGAGATACCTCTCGCCGATGGCGGGAACCAGAAGGTTCAGTTGGCAACGGAAGAAGGGAAGAAATGAAATCGATCACATGATGGCGGGTTTATTTATATAGCGAAAAGCTGTGAGTGAATCGACGGCTGAGATCTTTTTCATTCTTAATATCTACGGTGGCTTCTCGATAAATTCGTTACTTTTTTTTAATATAAATATAAATTCATTACTTTTTTTTTTGGAAATTTGAAAAAGAGAGAGGGAGAGGATGAAAGAAACACTAGAAGGGATAAACGAAAACAGACTAAATTAAAAAGAAAATAATAATACTCCGGAAATCAAATGGTTTTCTCCGAAAAAGGTCAATCAAGAAGCAAGAAAAGGTAAACACAGAGAAATTGGGAACCCGCACTCGAAAACCCCAAAATTCAAATTCCTTCCTCTCCTCTATTCTCTTCGTGCGTCGTACGGAACACGCCTCGTGATCCTCAACCCAGCGACCGAGTTCGTAACTCAGCATCGGCCTGGCGATGACTCGGCCTTCTATTCCCTCTCCTGGGAAGTCGGAGCAGTTCCGAGTGTTCGATTTCACCGAGGACGAGATCGAGAAGGAGTCAAAGAAGCTCCTGCGAAGGTTCGAGTCTTCAGGATCGGAATCATCCTCCGCCATCAACAAGTATGAGTTTCTTCGGTACTGTGAGTGTTTCTTCTCTGTCCCTACTTGTATTGTTTAATCATTTATTCGCAAAATCTGGTGTGGAAGATGCGTCGGAGTGTGATCATTAGAAGGCCGAAGGATTACTGTGATCGTGATTTGTGTTCTCTGAAGAATTTTAGTACTCGAGTTGCCAATGAAGTATAAGAGTGACTAGCTAATTGATGCTTGGGTAACCATAACCGTTTTCTTGGTGGCAAAAATGATGATGATGATGATGATGATGATGATGATGATGATGATGATGATGATGGTGGTGGTGGTGGTGGTGGTGGTGGTGGTGGTGGTGGTGGTGGTGGTGATCGAGATCGTAATGATGATAATGATGGTCTTGATCGTTATGCTGATACATGCTAATGTGTCCGTGTGTATATATTTCTGTGTCTATGCATATTTTGGATGAAACTTAATGATGATACCTGTCTGATTTGTTTGTTTGTTTGGTTGAATGCTTGTTTTCAGTAATTGATGAGGCCAGTTAAGTAAATCAAAATAACACTATTTTTTATCTTGTGGTCTTTAGGAATCACTCATTTGGCTAAGTTGCTCTTGTTGCAATCTGATGCTTAATACTTGTATATTGTGTCCATGTTCGATAACTGCTATGAAAAATCTATGCTTCTGCTCTGTATTGGTTTGTTAACCATTCCTTTTATGTGTTTTGCTTCTGTGCTGATTTTCTGAAACTGTGGGCTTACTACACGATGTTTCCGGATTATGTTTTCTTCCTTTAACGTTTTTCTTGTTTTGGTAGTTTCACAGGACACCACAAGTGAGAGAAAGGAACCCCTCAGCAGAGTTATTGACGTAGAAGGTAAAAGAGACAACCACTTCCTTTTCTCTATTGCAGAACTTCTTCTTAAGCTCCTTCACATTTTCTATTTGCAGCTGCAAATGAGGGTTGGACTCAGGAAATGGGGCAGAGTAGCAAATCATCAGATACTTGTGCCTGCGTGGTAGATCAACAATGCTCAAAGTTAGCGTGTAATCCTGCCAATATGTCATCTGACAGAGGTGCCTTTAAAGAGGGGGTTCATGGTTTGACTCCTCATTTACAATCTCCTCTTTTGGGCACCGAAGTAAATTTCTCATTTGCCCTCAGAATTTTCCCTTCATCTATCATAACTGTACTCAGATAAAGGATTATTGACTGTCCCTATTTGTCTTTATGAGTGATCACAGAAGCAAATAATCAATGTGATCTCAGATGAACGATGTGAAAAAAGTGCACAAGGTTCATGATCTGTGTCCCTTCTTGTTCCAAGGATGAAAAGAACTCACTGTTTGTGTTAATGTTATGTTCGTTTTTCTTGACCCCACTCTTATCTCCCCTCCATATCAGATGTGTATTTATTCATGTGTTATTTTTATGCAGTCTTCCCCAAAGAAGGAACAAGGTGTGATACAAGTGGATATGGAATTGTAAGTAATAACAATGTACTATGTAGACACAAAGGAGCTAATAATCATGGAAATGAATGCCTAACTGATCTCCAGCTAATTATTCTGGTTACTTCTAACTGTCATTTGTCCTTTAATATCATTGCAGGGTGACATGATTGATATGGTTTCTGATAATTACCGTGAAAGGACAGAAATTAGCTTATCAACTTCTACCTCTTCTTTCAGAGACAAGCAAGGTTTCCTTGATTTATTTATTTTAGCTAGCTGCATATTTCTGCTGCCTCTTGCCTGAAAATTTCCTGATTTAATGAACTGTGCATTGTCTCAGTGTCATCTGGAGAAGAAGACTCAGATTGTACTTCTGGTGCACTTCATATTGTGAGTCTTACCTGGATATCATCTCTGTCTTCAACACATATGTCTAGGCTTTCTTTTCCTCCTGATGTTTTATTAACAGTGCTAATATATCTTTTATTTATTTCTTCTTCTTTTTTTTTTTCCTTTTTTGCTGGCAGGACACTGAAAATCTGCGAGTTCTTGTAATCCCTGATGTTGTGATATATGGGGATATATACTGTACAAATTCAAAATTAACCTTTTCAGATAGCTACGTAGAGGTTGAAGGTTCTTCTGTAAATGCGACTAAAGGGACTTTTAGATGTCAATGGGCAGTAGAAGATATATTCAAAATTGAGTCTCAATGGTCTCTAGAGGTGAGTAACGCAGTTCTTCATTTATATGTGGATAGATTTTTTTCTGATACTGGAACTCTTCAATAAGTTTCAGGTTGAGACTGCCATTGTCAACTTAATTATCAAATCCAGGAATCCAAAAGGAGTTGTCTGTGCCAATGAGACTACAGGTTTGAGATTCTCTCAAAAGTTCTTAATGGGCCATGTTATGTTTTTTTAACCATTAGGGGGTTGTTAAAAGTACAACTTCATAACCTGAACACGGATTTTATTCAAATTTCTTACGTGAGATGCTTCTTCAATAGTAAAGTGAAAACATACTGCTTCTTCTTATTATATGCATTAAATGGTCGATATTTTCAACCTTTGGTGGAGCATTTCACATTTTATCTTTCAAGTTTATTTGTATATATTTGTCAAAATCAACTCTTATTTAGCTATCTACAAACATGCTGACAGGTATCGATCTGTTAAAATTTGCTGTTTATGAACCTAATTGGTGTGTAGCACTAGAAGCCATCAAATCATTGAACTCGAGATACAAGGACATGTGGTTTGATATTTCTGTGTAAGTCAGCTAAGCATTTTTTTTTAATTTGCATTATTTTATGTTACTTTTTGTTATTTGTGAATGACAGTTCACTTCCTTATCGTGAAGAATTATCTTGAAGTTTTATGTTTCATATGATTCTTTTGCTGAACTCCAGCGACACTTATAGGCAAATTCGGTGACATTACAAAGTTGGTCACAAAACAAGCCCTCTAGCTGTAGTTGTACCTTACTTTTTGCTTTTACTGCTTTCCTGAAAACAATTTTTTTTCAGCACTTATTTGTCTTCTTAAAATACACTTTTGCTTGACTATTTCACTGCTCATTGATTTCCAATATTTTTTTCTTCTAAATGTAAATTGTACCTAAGCCTTTCATATCCCAAAATGAATTAGGAAAGTTTGTGCTCTGAAGCCTAAAAGGTTAAGTTAGGAAGATATGTTTACAGATTTTAAGTGGGCATCTTGCAGTGTTGATGGAGAAAGTGAGGAACATGCTTTCAAAGGCCAAATTTCGGGAACTTTAATCACCAAGTGAGTATAAAACTATCATATATTTATGCAAAATACTCAGTATAATATAATTGTTGATAAATGTTGTCTGACGACGTAAGTTCACTTAGCAATCCTGTTATTACCTGCCGCGGTTATCTTTCTGCTATTTATTGAACATGCCATGTAATTCATCTTTGTTGCATAAATTGTGTGTCACACTCTTAACGTCATATTATGTTATTGGGGTAGTACCTGAGAATTAGTTGTGCCTAATATCATCAAATTTTAGGGGATATCTCTTGTAGAGTTTGCTCTTGATATGTCAGAGGCAAGTTATATGATGAGTAGGTTCCTGTGGCGCCATCTATTGTGCTTGAAAGGCTACCAAACTTGTAATAAAGTATTGCATTTTTCAATGAATAGTTTCTTGATGCCTCAATGACAGAATGACACTTCATGACTTGAATGGATTATGACATTATTATATCAATCCCTTACCTCTTGATGCATTCTGTTTAAATTCTGATTTTATCAGTCCCACTGAGTCATTTGAAGATATAATTTACCCTCAAGGGGATCCAGATGCTATGCTAATTAGCAAGAGAGACATTGATTTTCTACAGCCAGAGAGCTTCGTCAATGACACCATAATCGATTTCTATATCAGGCAAGTTTCGTTTCTAATACATGTTCCAAGGTTTAAGGTTTACATCATCATTCCATATGCTTTGGATGTGCTCATTCGAGGAAAGGCCTCAGATCAGCTGGAATGAGTATCAATGAATTTGTTAGTAGTGCTCTCCATCTGGTCATCGGCCTTACTTTCATCTTGCCTAACGATAGGCTTTGGGGCCAGAAGCTTTCTGATAGTGTTTTAGCCTTTACAAAGTATATCTTTTTCATTTATATTGCACTTTTCTGTACATATGCCAGTTAGACACAGCTTGTAAGTTTGCGTATGATTCTTGCAGATACCTTAAGGATCAGATTCAAACAGAAGAGCAATGCAGATTCCACTTCTTCAATTGTTTCTTTTTCCGCAAGTTGGCCAACATAGACAGAGGTTCACGTAGCACTTCTCGCGGCCAGGAAGCATTTGAACGTGTGCAGAAGTGGACTAAGAATGTGGATCTTTTCGGGAAGGATTACATATTCATTCCAGTTAACTTCAAGTGAGAATATATCCGTCCATGTCAATAGTTGTGAGGGCTTATAAGGTGTCTTATACATGCATTTCTTGCAGTCTTCATTGGAGTCTGATTGTCATCTGCCATCTTGGTGAAGCGGTTCATTTTAAAGGTCAGATTCACGACAGCATTAATCTTCTTGAATCTGTTGAATTTACTTTACATCATAGAAATCTTCACTGGCAGATGTTGAAGCTCATAACGCACAAAGGGTTCCTTGCATCTTGCATATGGACTCAATTAAGGGAAGCCATAGAGGCCTGAAAAGTATTTTTCCAAGGTACATTTTAGATCTTTTCCTCAATGTTGAAATGCCATGCATTATTTCTTTCTTGTCATTTGTGTTTCAAGATGTCCGGTTAAGTTCCATGGCTTTTTTTATATGGTATCTTAGATTTGTGCTTTACTAAAAGAGAAGGTGCAAACTCTGATGGCTCTGAAATGGATTATATACCATTAGATTATTAACTTGGTTTCTGATGTGTTAAGATTTGATTGATGTTGAAATTACCTGGTGCTAATGATGCTATTGAGCTGTGAACGATCTACAGAAATTGTATAAAATTTAAATCCTATTTGTTTTTTCTTTGGAAATTAATGTTGACACTTAATATATGGTGTTGGGTTTGCTGTTTGAGACTGGTTTTGTTCATCCTATTTACATCTATTTATTGTTTCTTTTGCTCACCCTTCCGGCTCATTGTATATAACATTTCTATTTCGAATTCGTAGATTTTGGCATGAAGATTCCTTTTATTAATCGGTAATTTTCTATTGAGGTATCGTTTATGTGTTGCCCATGTGGTCGTAGTTATCTAGCTGAAGAGTGGAAAGAGAGGCATGGCAATAATAAAACAGATGATTCCGCGAGAATTTTAAATCTACAGTTCATTCCACTCCAGGTATTACTTCTCTACCGAGAATGAAATCATCTTCAGCCTTAGACTTATGATTTGGACCAAGTCATGTAAAGTAATTGCTTACTTATGCTACTAATTATCCTGAAAACTTCGATGTTAGGACCATTGGATACTTTACAATGTTTTTCTGGCATATTTGTGTGCATACAAAGACAAAATTTGATGAAATATGGCCGTATGGCATGTCAAAGAAATAATTGGTTGATTTGTGTCCAAAAATGCCTGCCAAATTATGAACTTTATAGAATTCTTCATCGGTTTTCTGATATTTTGATAGACTTCCAGTACATAGGTGTGAGGGAAACTATCCTGAAAGAAGCCCTCGGTTTCTATCATATTGTTGCTTAACTAAAAATTTCAGGTCCCTCAGCAGCAGAATTCATTCGATTGTGGCCTCTTTTTACTCCACTATTTGGAACTTTTTCTTCGGCAAGCTCCTGCTAACTTCAACCCTTCCATTATCTCAAAGTCAACCAGTTTTGTAAGTATTTCATTTCGTCTGTTGTAGATTGGGTTAAGTTGCATCTGGAGTGTTAAAATAGGGGACTATGCCATAGTGAACCGTTAGTGATAATTGTTAGTGTACCATTGTTTTACTTGTCTTATAACTACCGAATGCACATTTTTAATCTATTCGGGTTGTTAGTTATTGTTGTGTTTCTTGAAGAACTTTGAGAAAATAAAAATGATATAGTAGAAGAATCTATATCATGTAGTATGAATCCTAACTTGGCGCTGATGATAACTACATTGAACTTTTAATAACTGTCTTATTGTGTCGAGAAACGTCAACTACAATACCTTACTCGAGGTGATTATCAATCGTCAAATGAAACTACTGTCAGTTGGGACAAAATTTTTATGTTCTATATGTTTCCTTTCAGCTAACAAGGGAATGGTTTCCTCCTGCGGAAGCGTCTTTGAAGCGTGGATACATCCGAGAGTTGCTTTACAGTCTCCAGAAAGATCATTCTCGGAAAAATGTTAGTTGCAAGAGTACCCAGTCTTCTTCTGGAGTATCTGATAAGATCAGTCCAGAAGAAGAAACGGTAACCGTAAAGGAGAATTGTAGCCCGAGAAAAGCATCCGATGGTTCCTCACCAATTACCAACTCTGTTCCCCGAGAAACTGACACCGTGACGGAAACTTGTAGCTCGAGAAACTCATCTGATGGTTCCTCACCGACCCCCCACTCTGTCCCCCAAGCCAAGAATTCGCCATCAACAACTCAACATGTACACATTGAAAGATGCAGGAAAAGCTCTGGAGAGCCTCTGGATCTGATTCCTCGCAAAGAAAAATTCGATAAAGGAGGTTATGAAACCAACGCATCCAAGTACTGCCGAAAGGTTTTCATGTCGCCAATCAAGGTAACTAACTTTCTGCCCCGTAACACTACCGCTTCTTACATAAATGATTCTGTTATAAGCAATTGTATCTTTTCTCGAATCAGGAAGTCCAAGAAATCAGTGAGAATGCAACAACCAGTTCACCACCGGATACACATAATTGTACATCGAAGATGGTTGACGAGACGAACACTTTTAGGACAACCTTATTTCCCAGCAATGATCATCAACGGGTGGAAACATGTCGGAACAAGGAATGTACGCTTTATATAGAAGACAGCGACGAGGAAGATCTGGTCTCAATATCATCTATTCCCGAGTCCCCGGACTTATCAGAAGTCAAACAAAACGAAGATGACATGCTTCTACTTGTTGAAGAGAACCACAGAAGAAGCGAAATCCAGTCTCCTTCAACGTCGGTTGAGATGCTCTCTCTTTGCGTCGTTGAAGACTCGCTTGAACTCGAGGTTAGCGACAAAGGAAGCGATGGGATTAAAGATTCTGCTTCTTCTCGGGTTTTGTTGTCGAGCGAAGACCGTGGCTCGAAAGAGAGAGGTAGAGGAGGTGGTGAGGATGATGTCTTAGCGAGAAGCCGAGATTTGGTGTCTCGGCCATTGGAGAAACAGATAACTAAGCGGCCAAAGAGGCAATGATTCTCTATATTCCCTTTACTTGCTAACGTATGGTACTCTCACATTTTTGGGAAAAGGAAGTTGAAGTCTTATAATCGTTTTATCCAGTGTCGGATACAGTTTGTCAAATCTTAAAGTCACGATATATCACCCGACGGCTTCAATGAAAATTAAATAAGGCCTTTTTTGTAAAACTCGAAAAATAGAGGGAGTCGTTTGGAAATATTTCTGGCTAACGTAGTGAAATCTTATAAAGGAGCCAATAGCGTTGCGTTTCTGCTCTTGCAATTTTTCTCAACGAACAGAGATTCTCAGCGACTTCTCTCTCCTCCCGGCCATTTTCCTCCTGTCTATTTCTAGAGAGAGAGAGAGATGGCGGAGGAGAAGGTGAGAGACGAGGCGATGCAGATGATGGGAATGTTTCAAGTTCTTCCGAGGCTCGTGGTCTTCGATCTCGATTACACTCTCTGGCCCTTTTATTGGTAAATTCCTGGAATCCTTCTCTTGTTTGATATCTCATAGGGATCAAATGGGAAATCGACGAATAACTATAGAATATCATCCAGGGTTTTCGATTTTGATTTTGATGGTGAATTTGAAGAAATTCAAACTCCCATCATTCTGTGAAGTTCATTATTATGGTGTATATGCTCTTTTAGTTGTCATAAAGGGGTGACGGAAGAGTGATTTTGCTACGATTGTGAAGAAGCTGTTTTTGATTTCTTTCGTTTAAGAAGGAAAAGGGAATCTGAAATAATGGCAGATGTCTTTGAAGCTGCATGATTCAATAAATTTCTGTCTATCTGAATCTGTAAATGGATTTGTCTATCTGACTCTGTAACCGGAAAATGAGAAAACGAAAGCGACAAAGATGATGACTAGTGTGTTCTTTTGCAATGAAATGTTTGAAATGGTCTTTGTTGATTTGTGTTATCCGGCCAGCGAATGCCGCTCCAAACGCGAAATGCCGTCTTTGTATCCGAATGCAAAGGGCATCCTGAAAGCTCTGCAAGAAAAGGGGATCGATATGGCAATCGCTTCAAGATCTCCGACTGCAGACATAGCTAACACATTCCTCGACAAGTTAAACATCAAACCGATGTTCATTACCAAGGTGAGACCAACAGACACAACTTCATATCTTGTCTGATAAACCCTCTTTACATTACTAGTAAGTGTTGTTCTTGTTCAGAAGAGGTGAATTTCTGAAGAGTGTAGATGTTTGTTTTGCTCGAAAACTGTTCTTCTTACGGGCATCTTCATTCAGTAGATTACGGCATCTAGCATTTTTAGTCGAAGTGAGATGTATTTCTCTGTTTCCTCTTGGATTGTTTCAGGAGATCTTTTCGAGTTGGAGTCACAAGACGGAACATTTTCAGAGGATACACGCAAGGACAAGCGTGCCATTCACCTCGATGCTCTTCTTCGATGATGAAGACAGAAATATCAAATCTGTAAGCAATCTCTCTCTTCTCGCCAATTTTTAATTCTTTTCCGCAACATGTAAACAAAGATCAACGAGACCGATCAAATCCTTTGCCCACGAAAACCGAAACGAAATTTGCAGGTATCGAAAATGGGAGTGACAAGCATCTTGGTGGGAAACGGGGTTACCCTTGGAGCATTTAGACAAGGGCTCACTGAATTTGCACAAAATCAGAACAACATCGAGAAGAACAAGCAGAGATGGCGTAAGTTTTCAGGAAAGTCATCATCCGAGATAGACGACGAGGACTGACAGAAACCGAACAAACATTTGAGGTCGGGGAATGACCAACATTGTCTCACTTAGCCATATACACTGCGGAATAACTTTCATGGATGCAAACAGATTTCGTGAATCTCTCGATGTTTTCTTGCTATGTGATTGAAAAAAAAAAGAATCAAGCTTTTGAACAGGAAACAAGAAAAAGAACAACCTAAGCAGCAACAACCCTAGGCAGGATGAAACAGAGTGAGCAAACACAATCCTATCACATACATAATGATCTTTTTCTCAGAGAGGAAGATCAGGCATCATCATCTCTACCCTGCCGTTGAAGGAGCAATTGCTCGAGTTCTTCCCTGCGGCGTTCTATGTCCTGCATCACTCCGATAAAGTTTCAATGAACAATTGCAGAACGGGTTCTAGAAAGTAATGTAATTCGATAATTCATCGCTGCTGAAACCACGAGAGCGTCAGTCAAAAAACTTACCTCGAGGTCCTTGATGGCTTGTTCCCTTGAAATTTCCTTCTGCTGCCGTGCACGCTTCAGAAAGCCGATGCATAAAAGCCCCTAAAGATCAGACAGTGATCAGAGATTGAAACAGAAACAAGCCGCTAAGTAGCAAAGATTACTTCAAAAAATGGTTGCCATAAAGATTCAAATGAAATATATGAACTCCCAAGTATGGCCGGGAAATCAAGTGAAATCCCAAACGCGGTTTAGGAGTTTCATCATCGTCCGACATAACAACAGATGGAATCGGTTCAGGCAAAAGAACTACAAGTTCTGCCCGTGAGTATCTGCAAATTTGTATTAAGCAACATATGCATCTAGTGGGTCAAATTTATAGAGCCATCAAAACTGATCCTTGAGGCTTGAAATCTTAGCAGAACTTCATGTGCAATGCGAGACTCTACTAGAACAAAACCATACCACATAAAAGCTGTAAGAAATGGCTCGGGTCCGAACACGAGTTAGAGGCCAATGAATAAGGCAGAAGCCTCTTCATTTGAGGTAAAACTTGGGACAGGAACAACAGGAGCCTAAGGTTGACAGTGGAAATAAGGCACGCTCTCGAAGTCTCGATCAAGACACTTCTAACAATCTCAAAGCTAAATGAATAGAGAACCAACTAACTCATGGTATCAATAGCACAAAATAGGAAATACGCAGCTGAGATTAATTTAGGATGGACAAATCCTCTTACCGATACAACATAGACGAAACCACAAGAGAGGAGCATGTAGCTGGCAATGTTCTGCAGAACCAAGAGATCTTTCTTCTGAGCCATGTAGTCAGGGAAAGCTCTTGTCATCACAGCAACACTGAAATGGGACAGAAACAGTGACATACGTTAACTAACTTGAACAAGCCGAACCCCAATCTTGTTTTTTAGTTCCTCAACGTTCTTGAAATCGGAAGTTTCAGATCAATAGAACTAATTCCGCATAACAAAAGAAACCGAATTCATCATACTAAAAGGCTACAGCTGCACAAGACAAAACCTTTCAAAAGAAACCAAAAGATTATCATTTTTCTGCAAATACAAACAAACCCAGGAAACAGAAGGAGAGGTCACAGAGATGCAACATACAAAATCTGAAGCATTCCTCGACCAGCCCAGTACTCCAATACCTGCAGCGATGTTCAGTAGAAATCTATGAATTGGGCAAATACTGTTCATGTAAGGAATTTGACAAATGCATCGAGAGAGAATTTCAAAGAGAAAAGGAAGATACTGAACAAAAGATCCAATACCTTCCAGAACTTGAGGATGAAACCCCATTCTGTCTCCGCAAGAACAACAAAACAAGCAATCAACACAGCGTAACATCTGAAGATTCCATCGAATATCTGATCAATAATCAGAAACAAAAACCAAGAAATCCACGGTCAAGAGAACGATCCGAAACCAGCATTATCAGAGTACCCATATGGCTCCGCAACCTACACAGAGAGAGAGAGAGAGAGAGAGAGAGAGAGAGAGAGAGAGAGAGAGAGAGAGAGAGCGGACATCGTGACTATCCCTGAAGGAGCGAACGGCGGCAAGAACATTGACGACAACGCAGAGGATCGCTATAAGAGAGGTGACAAAGCTGAAGCATTTGCAAACAACGAGGAAAGGGTCTGCTCTGTTTCTGAGCCTCGATCTTAGGGATCCTGAAGAAGAGGCTCCGGCGACGGGTCGATCGTCTTCCTCGCTCCTCTCCATCTAAAACCCAAAATTCCGACAGAAATATCGTCCGCTCCAATCGTTGACAGTTGGAAGATGCCGAAATCGGAGGAGTTCGCGGTGAAGAAAATGGGGTGCGAAGCTTTTTTGTGTCCGTTTTCTCTTCTTCCGATGTGGTTTCTCTTCTGGAAAGCGGGATTGTTTCACCGGCCGTTCTAAGCCTTTTCCTTTTTTTATTGCTTTTTTTCCCCTTAATGCTTTATTTTTTATCCTCTTTATGACTGGTCGTTGGTTTGTGGGCTGGCACTCGGCCCTCTTATATAACTTTGTTTTTTTAAACTAAATTTAATAATTATAAATGATTTCAAACGTTCTTATTTTTTTAAAATCCTTCTATGATTTTAATTAGAATTCGAAAAATATTTCGTATATTTTTTTTAAATTCTAAAAACTGTGTCAATATGGTAATTGATTTATATATTAGATTTTGGTTCAACAATTTATTTTATTTTTATTTAATTTTTAAATTATTTTTATATCTGTTTAGATTCAAAACTTAAGTTAATATTTTCTTAATATATATTTTTAGAACGATTTAAATACGCTTTTAACTATCGAAATAAAAAATTACCCATAAACAAAATCTGAACACAAAAGCAAATATTAAATAGCTATTTCAAACTAAAAATATAAATCTCCTAAAAGAAATTTAAACATGTGCTACTACGAACAAAATATTTGGACCAGTAACAAAAGCATTTCACCAATAAATACCCCTGATTACCATGATTAGTGAAGGTCACAACCTTCTTAAGTATAGTTATAAGTTTTGATTTCAAACATTCAAAACATTAATTAATAATGTAACACGGAGCAATAACGAATATCATATTTTAGATCAACAATTTTAATATTCCACACAAAATTTCTCGTTACTATGAAAAATAAAACTGTCAAAAATCACAGAGGGATAGTTTTTTTTTTAATATTCTAATATAATATGAGAGACGTTTCAATGAGTACAATGAAAAAACGCATAATATAATATAACTTAAAAAGGAAATATCCCCAAACTCGAAAGGTAAAATCTAATTTACCTATCAGCCTTGAGTGAGATTTACTCCACATTTGCTCTAGTCTTAGCCTTTTTCTTTCTCCCTCCTCCTTAAAGTCTATGTTTTTATGTCTTCACCATAACTTTCCCTTGAGAAAGTTGGTGCAGAGCTTCTTCCATTCCTCTCGGTCCGGCTCCAGTTTCTCCACGTTCGCCCTCACTTCGTCTGCGTACGATTCCTATACGCAATCATATCGAATCGAATCAACACTCTCATTACGTAATATTATGGTAGTATTATCGAATTTGATGATATTACACGATAACGAGAATACCCTTGCACTCATAACTATAACTAGTGGGCGAATGTTACTTACAACGATGAAATTGCGCTGAAGAAGACGCTCGATTATGCTAAGAAGGATGTCCTTGGTGTACTCGGGATGACCCTGAATCCCCATCATGTGCTCACGGTACTTGCAGATCTCGATCCCCGTTTGACCTGACCACGCCAGTATCTCGGCTTCTGGTGGTGCCTCCAAGACCTAAAATGCAACCATATAACCTCTGTCAAAGCAGATAAATCGAAACAAACCCTTTGTTCTGAGACTTGACTGACTAATTTTCGTCGATACAAGAGGGCACTAAACCAACCTCGTCGCGGTGGCACTCGATCACGGAAAGCACGGTCGGGATTTGGAGGGAAGAAAAGAGTTTCGTGCTTGACGGGGACAAGTTTATGTTGGTGACTCCAATGTCCCAACCGAGTTTCGCCCTCCCCACCTTTCCTCCTAGCGCACGGCACAGCACCTGAACCGATCATCATACCACAACATCATCAGCAGAAGAGAGAGAGAGAGAGAGAGAGAGAGAGAGAGAGATTTTGATGCAGAAAACAATGTGAAGGAGAATAAAACAGAGGAAATGGGTAACGTAACCCATGAGCGGCGTGAGCCTTGCTTGCAGACAAACGCAATGTTTGGACATTATTTAAGGAGAAGCAAAGCAACATGGAGGAAAAATGAAATGTACCGAACAAATAAATATGATAAACGGAATTTGTCCATATGTACATGTTTCTTTCTTCTTCTAGATTCCTTGCGATTCCGAAATCAGCTCCAGTCATTTTTTTGTGTGTATAAAGGAGAAACCATCTTTTCATATGAGAAGCAAGCAAGCTTGTCATGGGTCACTTTTCTTCCCAAACCCACATGAAGACCAACTTTAAAAAAAATTGAAAATTATCTTAATCCGGAAACGACGCAATCAATGAGAGGTCAGTTTAAGTAAAAGAATCTGAAAAAAAAAAGTGAAAAAGATTCAGATCTAACTCGTACGGACACTGGACCACATAGACACAGAGATACGGATGGAAAGTAAAACAATGACGCAGCAAAGCTACTTCTGTTGTATAGAGATCAACATCACGGGCAAAAACTGCACGCTTTTTTCAAGGGATTAATGATTTCAATCAAAGATCCTTTGATAATTGAAAATAAATTACCTTAGAAACATAAAGAAGAAAATCTCAAAAGTTCATGCTATATTTAAATCTTATCTCCCAAACAATTAAGACAAATTAAAAGAACAAAAGCCAGGCGAATCTCAAAATTCGTCATACCTCCTGCATATTAATAAAATAAAAATTTACTATAATTCTTCCAAAATTTATTGAGATACTTAAGATTCTACAACGAAATTTTATTAACCAAAAGCACCCCACTTTAAATTTCACCATCTAATTGCAATTAATTATAATAGTTGAGTATTTGCCCAACTAGTGTTGAGTCGTGGACAAATGTCCAAAACCCATTCTGACATTTTAATTTACGCTGTTGACATTTACTATATATATTATATTTCTCCGTACCACTATTCCTTTTAATTCATGCATTCAAATTATTTATTTTCACCTTCTTAAATATTTATTTTTCTACCTCTGCATTAAAGAGTAACGTTTCCACGCGGCACCTTGCATTTGTAGGCGGAGGAACAAAAACCAGAGTAATAGATTTTTTTTTAATTATATATACATATATATATTATTTATCATCAAAACAATAATCATTACCCCCAAAAAAAAGACTTTGAAACCAATATATGTTTCTCAGATTGAAAATGAAACGCTAATAATATAATGTAACGCTCATTTTCACGAACAAAAAGTGGAACTTGTTACTGAACTCGATGATAGTTTATCTGGGCGATATTTTTTTTTTTTTAAACTTATAATGCTGTTTTCCTGCAAATTTCTATTTACGTTCTCTAATTTTAAGGGAATCATATCTTTCCCGGATTCTAACAATTTTCACGGAAAATCAGTAAAGAAAAACACGCAAATTTCAATGGAGTCAAAACAGCATCTCACAAATCTCGCTGCAAATATATTCAAATTTAAAGCCGCTGACAATAAATAAATAAATAAATAATAAAAAATGCACGCGTGGCAAGGGGTAAAACGGTAATAATGCAAAATTACCTGGTGGCCGAAACAAATCCCGAGAACCTTCTTCTTCAAGGAATCCAATCTCTGCAAGAACTCCATGAGCCTGCAGATCCATGGATCGTCCCCATGAGCGTCGTTACAGCTCCCGGTGATGACGAATCCATCGTACATCTTGATCTCTTCCTCGGTGGGCAGCTCTCCGGTTGCCACATGATACACGTCCCACGAATCGCCTTCCTCCGAAAGGTACTTCACAAAAACGCCGAAATAGCCTCCGTATTTCTTCTTTACGTACTCGGAATCCTCCGCGCACAGGAGAACGGCGTACCTATTTCCGCTGGGCTGAGACATTTTCCGAACGACGGAAAATTCAAAATCAGAGAGAGAGAGAGAGATCGTTCCTCTTCCAGTTCCCTCTAAAATCGGAGGACTTAGAGAGAGAATGTGGGGAACCAGAAGGAGACTGATCTTCCTCTAGAGAGAGATCGGAGAGGTTTCCCAAGGATTTGATGACGAAGTAAAAGATGAAGGAAAAGAAAAATGATGGATTTTGGGGTTCTACACGAAGGTGCTTATAAACTGGGTGGTGAGGAGGGGGTTTCACAATGAGGCGTGTTTTTCATCTTATTTACAATTCTGTCCTTCCCTATTCTATCTTCTATTTACCAATTTACCCCTGTAAGCAGATTGGAAACCACGGATTTTTTTTTTCCTTTTTCCACTCTTAAACAACAGTAAAAAACAGTCACTCTTTTTTTTTGGTTAAGAAAACAGTCATTTTTACGTGTACATTATCTACATTATTAAATTTAACGAAATTTTATGGATAACCATAGAATTTAACTAATTTACAATCTGATATCATTTATCTCTTTACCGTCCGACTTATTTTATAATAAAAAAAATTGTTCAACAAACTCCTTTTTAGGTATTTGATTTTACTCCCCAAAATATATTTTGCAAAATATAGTTACATGGTATTAGTGTTCCGGGTGGGAGTATGTATTTTAGAAAATAATTCAAATTCGCACCAAAATCAAATGTTGTATTTTAAAAAAAAATGCTATGTTCCTAAAAAGCTTTAGATCCTTTGTTAAATTTCTCAAGTTTGATATGATAATATTACAGGCAATTCTAGCATAAAGAATTTTATACCTATCTTGTTTATGATTTTTCCTTTACATACACAATTATTTATTTTATTTTATTTCTTGAGAATAAAATTCCTTTAAGACCACTAAATATTCTAAATATTCATTCATTTCTACAGATATACAACGATTCCTTTTTTTATTTTTAAATTAATTTTCTCGCAAAATATAATTTATTTACGGAGGGACCATATACAGCTGATTAAATATATTTACTATATATTTAATGACATTGTTATAATCTTATACCTGTAATATTCTATACAGATATGGATATTAATTTCAATTGAAAGATAAATTAGCGCATTATGTTGACATTTATTTTCTTCAAGGACAAATCTGAGAGGTTTAACCAGGGTGTACCACACATTGCCCTTATGGTTTTATGGTAATTTCATTTATCTAAAATATTTAGGTTTGAACTTTCCTCACGAATCCTGCAATTCTCTCTAATAATTCTGAAAAGAAAAATTATCTTAATAACACACGACCAAGAACCTAAGTACCAAACCTATGCGTGGCCACTTGTGGATATGGATGAGAACGTCTAAATATAAAATTATTATTCATATTTCTATTTATTTCCCAAAGGAAGAGAAACCAGAGGTTCAAATTCCACGAGCTAATTTATTTTTTAAATTCGTCGTGAACGTTGGTTTTTACCATTTTTTATTTTAAGGCTTCTGAGAAGTGGGCATTGCGAGGGAAACTCCGCTGCCACTTGGTGGATCCTTCCATTGTTGCGTCACAGTTTTAATCTGTGTGTAAAAGTGAACTCCTGCTTTCCCTGCAAAACCACCAGTTTCCTTGTTCATTGTAACGCTTTCCAGTAATCCGAGTTTTAAATTCGAAATTTCGTTTCATGAGATGTTATACCGTAGAAGTTAAGATCACCGGCGAAGGACGCCTTGGATCCGGTGAACGAGAAGAAGGGCAACGGTACCGGGATAGGAACGTTTATACCGACCTATGTTGTAACACGGAAATTTGCGTAAAGAGATCGATTGTTTTCAAGTACAAATGATACGATACGGTATATTTATTTATATAAAAGATGTGCGAGCGTTTATGTAGTGTTGAGGTCGATACCTGGCCTGCCTCGATTTCCATCTGGAACTTTCTAGCCGCAGCGCCGGATGTCGTGAACAGTGAAGCCCCGTTCCCGTACCTGTTTCGGGACGCAGAATTTGAAGCGTAAATAGAGTGTGTTCAAGTAATACATATGCCAGGGTTAGCACACATAGAAGGGGGTTAAAGGTTTAATACTTGTTTCTGTTGACAATATCTATGGCCTCTTCGAAGGTCTCGGCCTGAATATGCCCGCCAAGGTGAATCACCGATGACATCAGAAACCGATGTTACATTGTAATGTAAAATAAATAAAATCTATCGGAGAGAAATGTGGTGCTATTATGTTTTGATCTAACCTCCATGCAAATAAGAACAGGGCCAAATATTTCCTCCTGAGAAGAGCCAAAGAGAAGAACAGAAGGTAAGGGTTTTGTTTTTGTTTTATGTGGTCTTTAAAAATACAAAAGATCTGTTCAAAGAACAGAAGAATACCTTGTAGCACTCCATGTCAGGAGTAACACCAGATAAAATGGTCGGACCGATAAAATTCCCTTTCTCGTACCCTGGAACCTGTTGTCACGAGCAAAAATAAATGAAACCCAATGAATATCAAGAGGTAATCTTAAACCGATCCGATGAATAACTCAAACATCTACAAGCCATTTCCTTTTCCCATTCTCAGAGAAGCTAAGAGAATTCCACCGGAGTTTAAGAAACAATCAAATGATTTCACGACTGGAAGTGTATCGATTGCAATAGCAGTAAACATGAAAATAATGTACTATACCACTATATCTCTTCCATCAAGCAGCAATTTAGCACCGCTATCAACACCAGATTGGATCAATCTGCATATTCGTTCTTTGGCCTGTTCAAATGGAATTCACGAAACAGGTTAATAATGGAAGGACCCATAAAGACTACAGAACTGAAGGCTTAGACACCATATCCATGTTGCCATGATTCAAATCAGTATGAGACACGCTCTATTTTGCCGCAATGCTTTGGACAAGAAAGCACCTGTTTGCTAATAACTGGCCCGAGATCTGCATCTGGTTCGGTGCCGCAACTGACTTTAAGGGCTTTGGCTCGCTCAACAATTTTTTCCTCCCTGGTTAGAAAGATTGGACAATTTTAGAGTAAATTTTCCACTCGAAATAAGAAAATCTCAACCCAGTCCGAAAGGTTTAATACGGATTAAAGGAAAGGAAAAGTACCATGATTGTGATCCCCCAACAAAAACAACTGTGCTTAGTGCCATGCATCGTTGTCCAGCAGCACCAAAACCAGCAGCAACTAGAGCATTCAAAGTAGCGTCTACGTTGGCATCAGGTAAGACAACTCCATGATTTTTTGCCCCCATATTTGACTGAGCATACAAATTAGTTAGCAAGTTAATCTAAAGCGTTTATGACACACATAAGGAGACTTTGCATGGCAGAAGATGCAAACGATATGATGTTTACCTGAACACGTTTGCCTTTTGCTGATGCTCTTCCATATATATGCATTCCAGCCTTTACCACCATTTAAGCATACGTAGACAAGTAGAAGAAAAAGTGAGCTCAAAGGTAAACGAGATCGGATATTATCAGTTTTTTAACAGCAATCTAAAATCGAAACAAAAACAGATGAATTCTTCCTAAACATTTAATTTATATATTCTGCATCAAAGTGTGAAGTAACATGTTCCATTTCTTTCTATCAGCTGTAATTCTTTTTCATGAATTGATATGTCATTCCTTTTCTTTATCATCCATTCCATTCACCACCGATCTCCAGGAATATTAGAGAACGAAGTACTTCAACTGAAAGAAGAGTAGTGATAAAATTCAGAAACTTACAGTGTTAGAACCAACAAAAGAAACAGCTCTGATATCCTCATCATCACAGATAGCATTCACTACATCCTGCCATAGTCATGAAGCAATAGTTAAAATAAAATAAAAAAAAGAGTTAAAAAGATTACGACGGATCTTTCACATCAATGAAATGTTAAGGTGCCGAAACAATAAATATCCACCAATGTAACCTCCAAGGAGACATCCACAGACCAACTATACATTTCACATTCTAGGCACATTGGAAAAGTACCAAGAGAAGAAAATTAAAATGATAGCGTACATTGGTGCCATGCACAATATTTAAAACCCCATTGGGCAATCCAGCTTCCATCGCCAATTCTGCGAGCAAAATAGAAGCACCTGGAGAAACAAAAGTAAAATCAATTCAGTCCCACAGGTAAAATAACACCCTTCTAATTCAGATGGATAGCTACACTATGTGTGACCCACCAAGAGTAAAGACAGAACCACATCATCAAAATGTAAGATGATGGCATTTTTCGTTTTCAACTTTATTTACACGTGATCAGATGTTCTTGTTAATTTGAATGCTCTGCTCGTGAAGCATCCTGGATTTTCATGACTTTCAAAACCTACTTGCTCGATTAGTTTTAAATTTATGTGAAATTTAACATACAGATACGTGTGATGTGATACATATCACGCACGAACACATGCATACATATATTTGAAGTTCTAAATATACCATTCTATGATCATTTCTTTACATGTTGGTGCCAGTATTCATATAACCCCCCTGAGTAGTCCAAATGATGAATTGAATTCTCTTCAGATACCATCATTTTTTTTAACTCCTGTACTTTTACCCGGTATTATAATAATTTAATAAAATATGGGTCTAGAACAATTTACCAGGATCCTTCTCCGATGGCTTTAAAACATACGTATTACCACAGGTTACTGCTATGGGAAACATCTGTGGTAACATACAAAGAATGAACATTCGCATCTCAGTCACAAAGGATGTGCAATCTTCTTAGACTGAACAGGATGAATCCGTGAGTTCCAACGAACTTCAATAAAGAAGGTTTCAGCATCTTACCCATAAGGGAATCATTGCCGGGAAATTGAAGGGGCAAATGCCGGCACAGACACCTAACGGCTCCCTGATGCTGTAGGTGTCGATTCCATTTGATACATTGGGGACGTATTCGCCCATCTGTAGGGTTGCCATCCCACATGCGTGTTCCACAACCTCTGTGTGACACATCCAGAAAGACCAATTTCAATATCGAGAAGTTACCAATGCAGCTATGCTAACTCTTGCTAATCATATAATCAAAACTGCAATGAAACTGACCTAACCCACGGAAGACATCACCCTGTGCATCCTTTAAGGTCTTCCCTTGTTCAGTTGTGATATTCAATGCAAGCTTGTCCTATCAAATGGTTCAAAAGAATTATTCAAGCCACAAATCAAAAGTTTGAGCCCAGTAGAGACATGGTACAAACAAGACAAAATCAAACGGAATGGAACCAATGGCTTACCATGTTTTTGCGTATAAGCTCTTGAAACTTTAACATGACACGCTGGCGAGTAGTAATTGGTGTGTTTCGCCATGATGGAAATGCCTGCTTCGCAGCAGAAACCGCCGCCTTGAACTCATCATTGGTAGTTAAAGGAACTTGTGAAACAACCTCTTGTGTTGCCTATATTGAATGACAAATATTTCACATTTTTCATGATTTTAATCAGATTTCAGAAAGCAACCGATAACAAACAGAACTGATAAACATATGGATGATGAGGCAGCTTACAGGATTTATGACATCGATGAGTGATGATGATTGAGAGTCGACAAAAGAACCTCCGATAAGATTAGGCACCCTCTGAACACATTAGCAAGGCTTCATTAATACAACCAAAATTTTGAGATCCTCTGCCAACACAAGTTTTATCCCACAAAAGCAACCATGGTTCAGAAACATTTAGAAACAAAATGTCTCAGCTTCAAACTTCTATTTTTGTTCACGAAAATCAGCCAAATAACAGAACAAGAAACTAATCTTGTTCGGCTTTGCAGATAATCTTTTTTTTTATAAAAGGGTAATTTGTATTAAAAGAAAAGTGACATGTACATAAAAGGAGAAGGAAAATAGAACACCCGTGTTACAAGGAACGAGAGATTGTGAAACCAAACCAAAGAAATCCTAGGTTAGGCATCCTGGAATCTAGAGATTGCGAAACCATAATTCAATCAGCATACTGGGCTTTGCAGATAATCTTAACATCCCGAAATCTACCTAACGTGGTTTATCTCAGCTAACCTCTATAACACATGAGTGTTTGTTTTCTTTATGCATCTCAGAACGAGAATCTTTCACTGCGTCACTTTCCAAGTATACATCAACTCAAAAACAGAGAGCTAGAACTGATTATACACTACAACTTATCCAAAAACTCAACCTATTCAAAGCTAATTTTCTCTATCTCCTGCTACGCGCCTCTCAGCAACCAAACAGATTGCACCGAGAAAACCACAAAGAAACTCACCGGAGGCTTCCGCTGCTGAGAAGACGGTTCCGCCGCCATGGAGAAACCACAGCTCCGGAGAGCGAGGATCTCCGGCCTCAAAGTCCTCAGATTCTTCTTCGCTGCAAGCACCGAATCAAATCAATCAATCGGATCGAAAAAAAAACTACAGAATTCGAATTCGAAAACGAAATCAGACCAAAAAAAACGAAAACTCGATCAGTACCCTGTTGAATCGAAAATCGCAGCAACATCGTTTCTCTCGCTGAGTCGTTTGGTTTGGCTTCTCCCCTGGCGGATTATGAATTAAAGAAATGCTGCTGACTCAGCGCTGGTGCAGCTGCGAAGAAGTGCAAAATGATAACTGATAAATGATGACATTTAAAAAATTAAAAGAAATGTTTGGTAACTATAGATTTTTTAACCATTACAGTTTTTAAAGGGGTAATTGTTCTGGTTCTAGAAAATATTTTATTTTGGTAATTAGGTGGAATATAAATCGAGCGGGCTAGGAAAATAATATTTCTTTGATTGTCAATTATAAAAACCCAACGTTGATTCTCTTGTTTAATTGTCATTTTGTGTCTAAAATGGTGTAATTAGCAATTAATTACTATTTTAACATAAGAAGTTTTTTAGGACTAGATGATGATTTCATGTGCAATACTCAGATTTTCTATTTTAACACCTATTTTTTTCTCTTTAAAATAATTGTATGTAAGCTGATTTATTTTAATGTTTTTCTACACGGATTCCATTTTCTCACTTTTCTAACAATTTTGTATTGTTCTTGCAACGATTAGTCCATACTTACCACCAAATATATAAACAAATAAACAAATGATGTTATATAAATAAAGCCAGTGGCAATCCTATCCATTCACGGGTCCAAACTCATATGTTAGGATACAATAAGAATAAAATTTTAAATTTAATTTAATTACATGGTGGGATGGTGATGTCACTGATGTGTTAATTTTGTCCGTAAACCTTTTCTGTAGTTATAAAAGATTCAAATCCACGCTACACACGGAATAATCTTTCGTTTTAAAAAAAAAAAAATTACACACACATATATATACACACATATATATATATATATATATATATATATATATATATTGGATTTAATAAAAAAATATTTTATCTTAAACTCCGCAAGATAAGTGAGGCTATATATATATATATAGCGATATTGACAAAGAAATCACCTTTCATCTGAAGAAATGTGGTACCAACTTTCTAAAAAGAACATTTTATTGTCACTCAGTGTGCCAACGTAGACGGCGAAGAAGCCATCGGACCGCCACCGAGTCCCATCTTCTGTCCTAACAGACCGAGCTGCTCGACGAACTCACTTCCTGTCAGAATCTCTGTTGCTCCGTACATGACGTTCTTCAGTGTCTCCTGACGTTGCACCAGCTCCTGTAAACTTCCGTACTCGACGTAGTTACCGCCTCCAATCATGAAAACGATGGCTTCTCGGAACGGTCCCTTCACTTGGCTGCCTCTCGATCCTGACTTTGGAGCTCTCGGATCAAGCATAAGGTAGGAATCGATCTCTGGGTTCGGTTTTCCCTCCATTAAAGCTTCCAAGGTTCGTGTCACCGCAAGTTTCTGATCACCTGATAACAAGTTCTTCACCCCGGCCGTGACAGCGCTTATTGACTGCCCGTATAGCTTCTCGGCCCAGTCCACGATATTGCTTCGGCTGGCTGAGTTCGCTGAAGCTGCTAGAGATACATTCAGCGATTTGATCTTCTTCACGTAGTGAAACGCGCTCGTGTCTGCTTCGGCTTCATGCAGTGCTGCTTCAATAGCTTCCACTTCGGCCTGGTTGATGGTCTCAGAGGAAATCAGGTACGTGATGGCAAATCTTACCTTGTCCGTCTTTGAACCTTTGCCCTTCAGAACGGCGAGAAGATCGCCTCTGTCGATCCCGCCTCTCATCATCATCTCGTTCTCTTTCTTGGCATACGAGTCCAGAGATCTCTCCTTGATCTGCCCAAGCAATGCGGTTGCGATGTTTGTGTGCTTGTCAATCACTTGCTTTCTCTCGGTTAACTCTGGAAGCGAGTTCACAGCATTCATTAGATGCTTGGTGTTACCAATCAGATCAGTCCCGTCGAATTCAGCACCAGTCCCGCCTCCCGTCCTCTTATTAACCTCCTCGATGTCTTTCTTGTACTTGTTCAATTGTGTTTCTATCTCCACGGCTACTTCGGGGAACTCCAGAGAACTGTTTGCAGACCAGAACGGGTCTGAACTGTCCAACTCATATGATTTCATCCCTCCTTTCTCGCCCTGCACATTCAACCGGTTGAGTTTCAGCCCGAGAACATCATGTACAAGAGGCCGGTATCTGAAGTCGTGCTGGATCCCGACTAAGAGCTCAAAGTTTCTGTCAAAGATGCACAAAATCGGCCGCTGAAACGAACTCATAAAACCTCCACTTTCTGTAAACAGATTGTTCTTGGATAGGAGATGATCCCTCAGCTTCTGATCCAATGCAGATGCAACCATCTCTGCTGGTCCTCCCCGAGGACATCTGATAACGGGCACCACACCGAGCGTGGCCAAGACAGAGAACAGCCCACTGGCAACCTTCTCGATTATCTCCTCAATTTCCCTATCCCCCGCCGAGGGATCATTCAACTGAACGTATGTGGACTGTTGTGCCAAAGAGAACAAGTTATCTTCCAAAGTCACAAACTCGAGGTACTGGTCATGGACCTTGGCTATCTTATCGATGGAACCTGAGTTCAGAGTCCCGGAAGCAACCTCTTCTAGGAGCGGTCGGGGAATAGAAGACGAGAAATTCAGATGAAAGCTATCATAGAGAGATCCTGAAGCATCAGCTATGATCCTCTGGATGTTAGATTGACTAGGTTGAACAAAGTACACGGCGGGAACATCATGAACAGGTTTTCGGTCCTTGTCAATCAGAAAGTAAAGTGTAACTCCATGTTTACGGAGATCCTTGACATGGATCAGGGGCGAGAGAATGTTCTGACAGAACCTGTCGTAGATCAAGATCTTGTAAACTTCCTCGTTCGACGTGCCATCAGGATTCAAAGGTTGGTTCAGGTTTAGCATCCGAACAATACATTCTGCCAGCAGGAAAACATAGATCCAGGATCAGCATCCATAGAAACCCAGATTTCTCTTCATTTCACATTCTTAGAAATGGAAACTATCGTAGCTCTCTTACTCTGATGTGATCTCAAGAACTCAAACAAAATATGGGGTGCAATGTAAATCAGAGACATGGCAAGGGCTTTAACCAGACAAAACATATAACACAGAAATTGTGTGCCCGATGCTTGAATGAGGAAGTGATCCATCAAAGAGACTGATACCATAAACTCATCTAGAAAGGGAGAGAGAGACAGAGTTACCAGTCTGTTTATGGCGGAGATTGAGAGCCATGACACTTGGAGTTTGACGAATCCGAGAAAAAGTGATGGATTTTGAAGTTCAAACTCTTTCC